GGAACCCCCCAATGACCCACTCCGGGAGCCCAGTGGGACCCCGGCCGCCAGGTCCCACCAGACTCCTCTGGAGGTCCTGGCCCGGCAGTGCCCCGCATCGGGGCACCCGCGCCGCAGTGGAGGCTCCGGGCAGGAGTCGCGAGGCAGGGGTGCTCCCGAGGCGCCTTGCTGGGCCGTGGAGAGGAGTCGGATGGGGAAACATCCCCAGCTTCCACCTGGCCCTCGAGGGCGCTGGCGAGCGACAGGCCCCCACACTCAAGCGCGTGGTCGGGGAAGGGCGCGCGGGCCTCCATCTCATCCCGCTAGGGAGGTGCCTAGGAGCGCGGGCCTCTGCGCAGCGCAGAGCCGCAGGGCGAGGAGCTGCTGAGAGGACTCCCCTGGAGCCGCCGTTCCCCATCCCTGGATCTTCCTCCGACTCCCTGCCCGTTTTCCCGGAGTCTTATTTCTTTGTCGTGGGGATTGACCCTATCTCGACCTTTCCTGGCGGCCTCACTCTCCCTGAAGCCCTGCCCTGGACGCCTGAGAAAGGCTCTCCTCCCTAGTCCCCCCCTCCCCCAACCCGCCCCCCACCCGCACAGGCTCGCAGCTGTGACCTCCGAGGCGAAGCGGAGGGCACAGGAATTCCGGAGTGAGCCGAGCCGGCCTCAGGGCAAGGAAGGCCTAGGGCCCAGATGGCAGATTGCAGCCCTGGTGGCCACGGTATTTTTATGGGCATGCCTGTTGCCCAGTGAAGCATACTGGGGCCCTCAGCTCAGCCTCCCGAGACCCTCCAAGCCTTGCAAGGGGGCCCAGGTGGGAGGGTCCCTGGCAGACCACCCGACCACCTCCCTGCCAGCTTCTGTTCCCCCTGGAAGGGGAGGCTTGGAGTGGCCCCACCTGCCCTCAGAGAAGGTCTGAATGCAGGGTTTTGAGGTGTCTTTAGAAGGAGCCTGGACAAAACCAGGTGCCTGAGTGAAGGAGGAGGGTGGAGAGAGGGAGAAGTCAAGGGAGCTGGAGGCGGAGGGGCTCCCCAGGGCTGCCACTAGCCCACCCTTTGGTTCCGATAGACCCGGAGTAGGAGTGCTGGCGGGGCGCTTGTGCCAATGGTCCAGCCCCTGTGGGAAGCAGGAGGAGGTTGGGGGTGAGGGGGAACATTGCTGGGCATGCAGGGTGGGACCTGTACCCAAGACGGGGTGTTTTCCATCAGGCCCTGCGCTGCAGTAGGCTTCCTGCCTGCTCTGATCTGACCTCCGATAGGCCTGGTCTCTCTGCTCGCCAGCTGCCTCTGCCTCCACTCAGCACCCTCTCCGGCAAGTTCCCAGCCTCTTCCTTCAGCCTCAACTTCCACAAGTCCTTCGGAGTGTAGGGCTTGATGCTGGTCGCTGTGCCTGGAATACAAGAACGCAGTAAGGAGGGGAGAGACCCTTTTCCTATGCTCCTGCTGCATGCGCGATGATGGGCTCAGTCTCTATGTGTTTTCATCACAGGTATTCACCACTGGTATTCATCACTAGTATTACACGAAGTCGCATTTAGCAAGCACTACCAGGGGCCTGCCACTGTCCCAAGTACATTTCAGATATTAGCACATTTCTCTTGCACATCAGTCAGGGAGGTCACCTGTTAGCCCACGTTACAGGTGAGGAAACTGAAGGCCAAAGAGTCTGGGAAGAGTCTCTGTCTTCATTAGCTCACTGTGTCCACATAACCCTGTGACGATGGGTCTGGTATCCTCACTCGCCAAGGGAGGAGCCCGAGGTTCCAAGAGGCACCCCAGCAGCCAGGAGGCTCTGTACCTGCTGAGCACTCCGTCTGCCTTCCCTCAACTGCTCCTCAGCCCATCACTGTGAAGTAGGCACCATTATTGCCCCCATTTCACAGATGACGACCCTAAGGTTCAAACAGGTCAAGTGATTTACTCAGCAGGTGAATGGCAGACCTGGGATTTGAACTTGCTTCTGTGTGACTGCCGCGTGCCAAACGGGAGGGACCAGTGAGAGTGACAGCGGGAACAAGAGAGGACTGAGGGCAGGCAAGTCCCAGGGAAGTAGGAGGGGTTGGCCACCAATAAGAGGTGAGCCTTCTCTCCACAGCCACATGCTTGCTGTGGAGGTGGGGAGGCACTGGACAGACAGACATCTGGGTCTTGTCCCCCACACATACCCCCTTCAATGGCCAGGGCTCCTCACGGCCCCCTGCTTCATTTTCCCTCTCGTGGGCACAGTCAGCTAGCTGGACAAGGACAGCCCCCCAGAGTGTGGCCAGAACCCCCCCAAGAGGAACGGCCTTGAGATGAGGGGACTGGAGTCGCAGAAGCCAGTGAAGTGGGAAGAAAGTGCCAGCAGGGTGGACTCCTGAGCCTGACTGCTCTTTCTCTGTTCTTCCTCCTTCCATCTTTCGGTGTTTTCGTGTCTCTTGAAACGGCAGACTGCTGGATTTTGGTTTAGTTTGCTTTGGTCTAATCCTCCTCGTCTTTTAAAAAAATCAGCTTTACTGAAGTATGATTTACATACAGTAAAATCTGCCCTTTTCAGGGGCACAGTTCAGTGAGTTTTGAGAAATGTCATGTAAGCATCACCAAAACCCAGATTTCAAACATTTCCATCACATCCCCAAATCCCTGCGTGCCCCAGGGCAGTCAGCCCCTCCCTCCAGCCCCAGCCCGGGCCTCTGGACCCTACTGGTCTGCTTTCTGTCTTTGCTAGAGTGCATTACAGATGGAATCATACGATGTGTACTCTTGGCTGGTTTCTTTAGCTCAGCAGAGTTTCTGAGATTCATCCATGTTGTTGTTGCGTGTGTGTGTGTATACTTTTTCTTGTCTGCTTGTTAAGTGCTTTCCATTTGCCCTGCTTTCCAGATTTCTCTCCCTCCACTCTCACTTTCTATCAGTGAAGGGGCGGGAAGCAGAAATCACTCCAGCCATCTTACACAGAAAGGGATTTTGCACAGGGAATCGGAACTGAGTACCCCCACTGGAGGGGCGGGAGGGGTATGTTCTGGGTGGGGTCCACAGGACGCCACCACCAAACTGACTCCCCAGAGGAGCTACACCTCTGCCACCATCAGCAAGGTGGGGTAACAGGCAGCCACCAGCATACCTGATGAGTTCAAGATGACACTGCCATTGTCATGAACCAGGGGCCACTACCAAAGCCCCACACCTCCTTGGCCTTGGTATCTAGGAGCAAAGCAACTCCACACAGCTTTCCAACTCTTGTGTGAGTGCACCCAATTGGCAAAACCTAATTTGCTTTCCAGAGCCTGGCTGCACACTGTCTGGGAAATGCCCCACGTGGGCAGTAAAGACCGAGGCACATGAAAAGGAGGTGGGAGTGATAGCTGAGCACCAGCAGCCCTCCCAGCCATTCTCTCGGTTCTCGGTCACCTTTTCGACGGACTGAATCTGTTTTCTTGCTTCATTCTCCCCTTGATTCATTTAGAAGCTCTGCATGAGTTTTTCAGCAGCTACCTTTAAAATTTGCCTTCTTAACAAAGTCTCAAGTTAATCAATGGCTCTGCTCTGGTGATTTCAACCTTTAGCCACAAAATATTTGCGTTTCTTCCCTTCAAGAGGTGCCACCTCTTGAGTGTGGGTTGGACTTGGTGACTCTTGTCTAATGAGTAGAGTGAAGCAGACATAATAGCAAGCAATTTGGGGGAGCAGGTCATAAAAGATATGTGTTCTTCCTCCCTGTTCTTTCCTGGGCTGCTCTGCCTTGAAGAAGTCAGCCTCCATGTTGTGAGGGTGCTGAGCGGCCATGTGGAGAGGCTC